GAGAGAGAGAGAGAGAGAGAGAGAGAGAGCGAGAGGGAGAGGGAGAGGGATGAGAGATGCAGTATGTTGCCTTAATGGAAATGAAAGCAACTTCAGGGCAGACAGACAGACAGACAGAAAGTGACAGAGAGTGCTTGAGAGACAAAGAATGAAGATGGTCCGAGAAAGACGCCCAATCGGCTTGTGTGGTCTGACCGGCGACTTCGTCGCAGCACATCGCAGCGCGAGGCCGATGCCGGCCATGTTTGTCTCGCTCTGTGATGTTTTTGCAGCGCGAGAGCTTAGCGGTGCTATAAGAGGCTTACAGAGCTGAAAACAGCGTGTGTGAGTGTGCGTGTCAGGTGTGTGCGTCACGATGTTAGAGTGTGCGACAGATGTGCTTGTGTGTGTGTGTGTGTGTGTGTGTGTGTGTGTGTGTGTGTGTGTGGGTGTGTGTGTGTGTGTGTGCAGGGAGCTGCCATCATGGAGTGTGATTAGAGGCAACATTCTAAAATGGTGGCGCGCTGTGACTGCGGTGGTAGATAATGAACACCAAACATGACATGGTTAAAAAACCGACCCCCCCCCCCCAAAAACAGTGTCCTTCACAAAAAACACCCAAAAAATTGTGTTTATTTGTTGGCAGGGTTTTCCCGCATACCGTATCACATTTGGAGGCCGACTCCGTCACCGAATTTCAGGCTGCCCTCCCTCGGCTGTCAAAGCATCGACATTGTGACAACTGTTAACTTTTTGAGCAGTGCTGCACAAAGTCGGGTTCATCTTAGATGCAATTGGGGCATTGCGCCACAGCGTGGCGATGTATCAGAAACATTTGGGAGTCACTCCTAAAACCGTTGTAGAAGAATAACGCTGTGACGACAGGACACAAATGACAGATTTTTCTTTCCTACTGTGTCAGATGATTTTGTTGAATACAAAGTTAGTTTTTTGTTTGTGTGTTTGTTTTTTGCTTAAATAACTGGCTCTATTCACGAACAATGATACCACACACAAAAACGCTAGCCGGGATTTTCTTTTCTTAGCATTTTGATAAGTTCTATCCTATGTGCATTGAGGACATTTTAAAATTTGAAAAATAGGAGGCTTAAATATTCTGCTTAACAGACAGAAAGACATATAGACAAAACTGATTGATCGATCGGTTGATTGACTGCTGGAACAATCACTCATTTGTGGTGTGAGAAAAACTGCAACGTCATCTCGCCACATAAAGTATAGAAAGATATATATAATACAATGACTGATCGGCGGACAGAAAAACAGATTCACACGATCATCCAAGGGTTTTGGCCACGCAACGAGTTCGGCTTTGAAATTGAGCCGCGGCCGAAAAGCATGTGTGTGTGGGTGTTTCGGGTTGCTCTCTTTGCCTCCACATGTGTGCTTGCGTGTGTATGTGTGGTCAATATTGCGTGAGGAACCAAACGGGTCGATTGTAATTAAAAAGAAAACAGGTGTAAGGGATGCATATTTAATGCGGAGAGGTCTCAGCTTCATTAGGGCAAAGGGCTGAAGCGGCAGACATCGCATCAGCTGCAAGCCTGACGTTGAAAGAGAAATGTTAGAAGATGTAAAGAAAAAAAGAAATCGCTCCTCATGTGAGTCCTCGTTACACTCATACGTTGTTACTTTTCCCACAATGTGACTGCGGCTTTGTCCTTTGAGACGCTGAGGTTATATTTGGACTAGCATCAACTCACACTGTAATAAAGCTGTCATACTGTGTGTGTGCGTGGGCGTGTGCGTGTGAGGATGAATGGCGGCGTCGTCTCGTGCTCTCATACTGGCGGCTTCTAATTGGCCGACACGGGCTGAAGTGCTGCTGATGCACTTTCTCCTCAGAGATGTGATGGATGAGCACGGGAGCCACAGAAAGCAGGAAGGAAGGAAGACGGATGGAAGGATGAAAGCAAGGGAGGAAGGAAAGAAGGAATAGGGGGCAAAAGGATAAGAAATAGGTCCGAGGAAGAAATGTAAGGGAAGAAAGGAGAAGGAGCAGCAAGATGGAAGGATGGAAGGAGGTCAGGAGAAAAGTTGGTCTGAGGGAAAAGGGGGTGGACAGAGCAAATGGAGGCAGAAAAGAGGGTTCAAGTGAAGGAAATTAGGATGCAAAGCAAAAGAATAAAAAGCAGAGAAAGAATGCTAAGGTAAAAGGAAGGATGGCAAGAGGAAATGAGGGAACAAAGGTTGGAAAAAAAAAGCAGGCGCGACGGGAAGTAACAAAGGAAGGCTGCAAGAGTAAAACGTGGGTCCAAGGACCAAAGAACCAAAGAAAGAAGGCAGAACATTTTTTTTTTTATGTGAAGAGAGGAAGGATGCAAAATAAGTGGGTCTGAGGGCAAAAAAAGTCAGGAAGGAAAGCAAAGCAGGGAGTAAAAGAATTAAGGAAGGCGGCAAGGAGGTGAGGAAAGAATTTCAGAAGAAATGCAGGTCTGACAGCAAAGAAGATAGGAAGGAAGAAAGGCAGAAATGTAGCCGTAAGCAAAGGAAGGATGAAAGGGAGGAAGGAGGAAATGAAAGTGAGGCAGGAGATCAGGAAAGAGTCAAAGAAAAAAGAAGAGAAGAATCCCAGGAAGAAGAGCAGATCTGAGGGGAAGGAAGGAGGGAATGAAGGCAGGAAAGTAGGTTTCCAGACAGGAAGAAGTTCAGAATGCAGGAAGGAAAAGCTGGTCTGAGGTAAAGGACGGGATAAAGGAAGGAAGGTAGAGAACAAGGGTTTCAAGGAAGGAAATGCAGGAAATCGCAAGCAGGTGTATCATAGTTGGTATTTTGGTGTTGCCATGGCAACAGCACATGCTCCTCTCCTCTTTGGAAGCCAAGGTCTCCTATTCAAATCTCTCATTCACAGAAGAGAAAAGTGGTCCGGTCCATTTGAAGGGGGTGTGGGGGGGTGGCGGGGTTTCAAGAGGACCAGGGGAAGAAGGGAGGAAGGGCACATGTTAGAGAGAGAGAGAGAGAGAGAGACAGTGTGTGTGTGTGTGTGTGTGTGTGTGTGTGTGTGTGTGTGTGTGTGTGTGTGAGTTGGGGGAGGAAAGTGACTAATGTCTTCCGAGGAGCAAGAGAGAACAGGAATCAGACGCTTCGGCCAAGTCGTTGAAGTAAATGTCCTTGTTGTCTTCATGAGATGCAACGGCTCCACTTGCACACACACACACACACACACACACACACACACACACACACACACACACGCACGCACGCACGCACGCA